ATATATATATAAAAAAAAATAAAAATTTGCACTACAGTGATTCCATCGGTTTTCGTGAATGGGATCTCACAAATTGAAGTGGGACCGGAACTTGAATGTCAAGACTGTTTCAAACTCTTTTTATATATATTGCTGTCCGTTCAAAGGACCCTCCCTCTGGTTGGGAAGACCTGAAAGATCTTCACTGGCGTCAGGTGCTCCACCTTTGAGCTGATATTGCTGGAGTTGTCCGTATCCTGAATGAAAAATCGATCAACCAATGTGTCGGATATATTGGGACGCTTCTACAAAGTGCATTTGTGAGAGAAACCGAAATGGTGCTGTTGACCGGTTCATATCCGCCTGGTGGGCCGAAAACATTTTTGGGTTAAAGCGCCACGTGTAATTATGCTAAACATTGTGGTGCATCTTAACCACTTGCCCCTTTATACCAGATGTTCATATACAGAGGATAATTATGTAGCATTAACATACTGTAGAAAACCATAGTAGAGGCATACTCGATGTTATACCCATTGACCAAAGCACTTAATAGTGAGCAAAACTACATCCTTGTTTAGTGTGGTAATTGCATTTTGGCAAGGGTAAAGCAATTTATGTACACCTGCTGATGTGCTGATCAAAACATAATCTGAAGTACTGTATGCTATATTCTGTTACTCAAAGAAGTATAAGCTTTTTGTATTCTATATATATTTTTTCTATAAACATGCCACAAGATGAAAGCTTGAAGAAAGTGCAATCCAGCAGTATTCCTATTGTTGCAATGTGTGACGGCGGCGGTGGTAGTAGAAGGTAATGCTGTTATGAGAGGTTGACGTTTGCCACGTAGATTCTCTCTCCCTCCGGGCGGCGGTCGGGACGGCGTGGCCTCCGATGTTTGCGTGAACTGCCGAGGTCCGGAAGTATCCTGCCTCCATTACTTGAACTGTGGCATTGCTCTAGCTATGAATGTCTCTTTTTTTTTTTTTTGTCGTTTTTGTTTTGTTTGTTTTTTTTCATAACATGCAGCCTACATAGCTTAAGAGGAAAGGAATCCATGTTGAACTTGGCACATTTTTCAAGTTAAAAGAACAATAGACACTTTGTATAGAGATGCCGTGAAATGTATTTCTGCCGTTGGTTTGTGGAAGGAGGTTGATATTAATTACTCCACTGGAGGACTGATGAAACTCCTCGGGTAAAGCTGAGCAATGTGAGATCCTGACCTTTTATCTTGCTGAAAGACAATAAACTGAAAAGAGTTTTGTCAATTAATTTGGTCCTTTTCGTTTTGTTTGTTTTAATTACTGAAGCATTCATAATTACTCTTTTGATTCATTTACGGTTTTCCAGTTTTTGAAGCTTTAGAAAAACCCTGAAACATAAAAACACGCAGCTCAGATGGGAATGACTTGTACGAGTTTTTGACTATTTGCATTAATATGCAAAAATAAATGAGTCCACATACATAAGACTGGGATCTTGGGAAAATGAGTGGGAAAACTCAGTCCTTTTTGAAGAACTGTTGGCATTTTTGTGTTTTTTCGTTTTTTACTTGATCGCAGTTTAAATAATTTTGTCGATTTTACGTAAGAGCTTGTGCATGAATGATCTCCAAGTTGTCCATTGTCCAAAAACGTTGGACCAACAGATTATTCTACTTGTGACTGAGGAACCATCAATGCATCTTGTAGTTTTCAAGCAATGACTGTCTTAAGGCTTTCTTTCTGTCTGTTTTAATAGGTGTGCTTTCAGTAGTGTAGTTATCTTTGTGACCCTCGCGTATCACAACATTTTTTGTCAGCTTAGATTGTCACAAAATTCCAGTATTCTTAGGGTTTATCGAGGAATGTTGATGGATGTTTCAGTGTTCCTTTGGAAATTTTGTCGTTTTTTTTTTTTACTTGGTACTCGAAAGGTGACCAAAAACAATGCGAGGCGAGACTTAACCGATTTACCGTTTGCGCCCGGTGAACTCATTGTGCTTTGATGAGATTATTTGTGGGGCGGAAGGCAGCGAGGGCACCGGAGGACATGCCGTGGACAGATGGAGGAGAAAGGAAGTGGACAAAGACAATGGCAGGATACGTGCAGGCTCTTTCCGTACTCGGCCTGGCCGCCACTGAGTCACCAGAGAAGCATGCACCGAACCAAGTTCACCAGGAACACGAGTATTTTTTTTAAAGCGACTTTCTTTTGATACTTCCATGAATGGAATGTGGCCTGACGTTTGCCTCGTGAAAGTTTTGCCAGAGTTTTGTCCGTCATTGTCTTTAGAGCAGCCGGCTTTATCGTAACTTGATGTGTTTTGAATCTACGAGTCATTTCCACCATCATAGAAACAGGTTTAGACTGGGTTTCGAGGAATCGGATGATGATGATGATGACCCCAAATGGYACTACTACCAGTCCGCTGTGACCTGAGCAACAGGTGGATGTGCGTTAGGTAAGGATTAATGAGGCACAGTTCCAGGCTGCGGATTACACCTGGTTACCTGTGTCAGCTCGGAGGGCTCTGCTGGGATTGACCATGCACACTGTAGGACAAAATGTACCCAAGCTGAGTCATCTTCTGAAAAAAGACAAGAGAGTGGGTAGACGAACATCCACTCTGACAGGATTCAACCACCACCAGCTGTCCTCTGTCCAGCCCTCAGCCTCCTCTGTGGGACTGAGATGAGCACATCGGAGAGAGTCTTGAGCTGCTTATCAAACAATGGAAAGAGGCAGATACAGAACGTCCAGATTCAGAACATGTTGGGTTTGAACAAACATTGCTTGGTCCATGGGCTCAAGAGGTAGATGCACATGATTTTTTTTTTCAACTTTCAAGAAATGACATTTGATGCGATGCGATATAATATGCCCATCTAGCACAATCATTGTTAGATGGGTATATGATACTGACCCACATCAGGCATATGATGAAGAGWTTTGGTAGATTTATCAATGTATTGTTACAGCCCTGCCTATAATTGTATTGACTTTACTAATGCTGCTTTATCTATCAATCCACTTTCGTATCTTCAAGATACACACGTTTTCAGTGCCTCAACCACCCATTTAGGACCATCCAGATCAGTGAAACAACTCTGAGGTGGGATTTAAACTGAGCCAATAAAATTTTCAGTTCAAGGGTCAAACACAAGGGGACTCRTACATGTAAGGATGTATCAACCAAACGTTGAAAGTGTTTGTAAATGTACACAAACTTTTCACCTGCCGTGAAAATGTGTATACCTCTACACAAACTTTTCAGTTTACATAATCAAACAAAGTACTGAAAACTCACCAAAATATGACTCCATTTGGTTTTTATGGCACAAATCAGGATAGTGTGCCAAATACATTTTTAYATCCCMCGTTATTTAGCTATTTTGYATTATACTATTMTTATTTTTTGCAGATCCCATTTGAGATCACAGATCAGTATTTCAAGGGAGGCCCGGATCTGAAAGCAGCCTAACAGGCAAACAATAGAACATGCWAAGTCCATACAGAAAGACCCCAGGTTTGACCTGGAGATTGAACCCTGGACCTCCTTGCTGTGAGGCAACAGTGCTAAACACTAAATCTTTAAGCTGCTGTTTCTAAATTGTGGCAAAACTTTCAATAACTTCAGTTTTTGTAGAACATAATCAAATTAAAATAGAAAGATGGATCGATTGTGTCTTGTTGCAGGCAGTGAAAGAGAACATTGAAGGGGGGTAAACCTAATAAAGTACCATCAAATTCAAGAAGCAAACACATATTAAGTTTACAAAATATTAGTGTAATATTCAAGACTCCTCAAACTCACTAAATAGGCATCATTCACTACTCTACAGCATAATTTGCAGTGAAATCAGCAGTCATGTTTTGTTGCCAACAATTACGAGTCATTTGCTTACATTCGAACATAGACTTGTACAYTTCTGACAGGCTTTGGCTTGCAAATGATTCTGAGTCAGTAAAATAATCCCAGGATATAAACAGGCAGAGGTAGAAAAATGGAGTTAGAAACATCACATCAAAAGCAAAAATGCTCCTTTCTTTTGATTTTTCAAATATGAAAAACATAATAAATTACATTACCACTTTATTGCTTAGTAGAATAAAAGAATAAAAGTTTTTTGTTTCGTTCTAACAGCTGTTATGGCTTTAAGCTGTCCCGTCTTTTACATTTTCTTATTCGGAGCATACTTTTACCAGTCTGCGTCTGGAAACTATTGACCTTTATGCTAATCCAGTTGGAGACATTTGTCTGGCCCAGTTCTGGCCCACACAGTGCACAAACAAACGTCCCAGATACTGCAAAGAATGATGGCCCTATGGCGGCCCAGAGGTGGTCCACGCATGAGCCAGCTCCACGTAAAGAAAACCACAACCGGGCCAATCGTGGCATTGACAGATTTAGGCTGTACCAACCCTCAACTGGCCAAGTTGTGGGTTTACCATCTTTAAAAAATAGTGCCATTGTTGCCAGACCTGGCCCACATCTGCTTTATAAACAGTAGTGTCAGTTTTGTATGATGCATTGTGATCTAGATGTATTTGTGTCTACTTCTGGTGTGTTGAAATACACTTTAGTGTTTAGTCTAAAGTTTATATCTATGAATGTTTTAGCTCTGCGRTCATTCTGACGTCCGGCAACATTAGGCTACATGTTGAAAACATTTATCAATAAAACTAATTTATAAACACGACTGTATATAAAATAGAAAAAACAGGAGTAAGGGGACAAAAACAATGGAAGTAAATGCCGACCTTGAACTAGCTATGATTGAATTTGGGGCGTGGTGCTTGATTTTATGCATGCGGAACTGTAAAAAGGTCCATTTTGCTTTAGTGGCAGTTAGATTTTCACTGCTCCATTTCTGAGCTATGTTAATGCAAAAGTTTAAAACCATAATAATGATATCACAGGTCTTTTCCACAGTTGTCCTGTCCCTTCACCCTCTCTCCTTCACTCCAAGCAGCACACCACAGAAGTACAAGCTGCTCGTTTTTGGCGGTCGTTTTACAGCCCTCTGGATTTAAATGAGTTCTGACTGAGGAATGGGGGGGTAGCAGGACGAATCACCTTTTGGAGTCACGCCTAAAACACAAACACACTCGAGCCAAATGTCTCRCAGGCTTTTAGAAAAATAGGTTTTCGCTTTCAGTTCACAGCAGCCAATCAGGTTCCTCCTCCCCTCTGTCTCCGTCTGACTCCGGGATTTCACTCCGCTCCACTGACCAATCAGAGTCTGGGAACGTGTCGCGCCTCAGCCAATCAGAGGCCAGTTGCTATGCTGGAGGCAGAATCGATAAGAGGGATTTTTTTCCCCTCCTCCCTCCCTTCTTTTCTTTTCCTTTTTTTAACGAGCTCACATTATAGCTGGCTTATTGGCTGAGGGCAGGAGATCCTGTTGCTTACCAACCAGCATGCAGGCAGCAGACTGATCCATGAAACCCAGCAGAGACACTTTTTATTTCTGTTTTCACCACAAATAAAAGTTGTCTCCACGCTATGTTTGAGTCAGACCGATCTGCTGAGGTCACTGGGAGCACGCTGTTTAATTCACACACAACTAATTTAACTCAGAGAATCGAAGTTAAAAGATATATAACGTTGAGAAAGATCAAACTGTAGTGGTTTACAGTTGAAAATGTAATCTTTCATGATAAGATAAACTAAATTAAAAAACATTATCTAAATCGGAGGAGCCTAAAGTGGGGTCCATTTGATTTGGCCCACCAGCACTTGTAACTTGCTGTCCTGTGTAGAAACACAGTGAAATACAAGTAACAACAAGAGATATTTAGATTAGATTTAACCACACACTTTGCACGCTTTATAAGGCCACCAATACTCGTATTTTATCAAGTTATGAGCCTTTGCGACTTGAACGTGTGGCAGACTTTCTCCAAGTGCACAGACTAAAACAAAAGCAGACCACCTCACTGGCTGCTGGCTTAATTGTTATAAATAAAAAACTTTACTCAAAAAGTATTTGTATTTCATGTTACTGCATTTGGCCTGCAGCCCCGGATAGATTTTCATTTTGGTCCTCTTGGGGAAAAAGTTTGGGCGCCCCTGATCTAAATAAATTAGACTTCAGTCAGTCCAGACTGACAGTCATTTAGTAACGTTTGAGTTGTTGTGTTCTGCTCCGTGAAAGGAATACAAATTATTCTGAAATTAATTCCTCATCGACAATAATCCAACTAATTTGTTTATTAACTAGTATCCCCTAAAGCAGTGTTTCCCAAAGTTGGGGTCGGGACCCAAAGTGGGGTCCCGAAACATCAAG